AAATCCAATTTTTGTTAAGTTTTGTTCTACATAGGATAACAAAGGGCTTGAGGGCGATCTTCCTCGCTCCACAATCTTCGAAGAAAGAGCTCCTCCACTACAGGGGACGGAGGAGGTGAGTTTAAACATATAAATTAAATATATTTTTCTTTAAGTTTTGTTCTAATCCGATTTTCTGTTTTAGCGGGCGTGTGTTGGCTTGCTTTCGGCTTTCCAATTTTTGAAATTATTTAGTTATTATATCTACACTAATCCGATTTTCTGTTTTATTTTCTTATAAATAATTTGTTGAATAAAACACGAAATACAAAACTGGAATGGAAAATGGAAAATCTCACTCTCCGTGCACATGGAAATTTTGGCACTAGCAAAGTTCAATGTCTACAATTTGCACTTGGTCGTCTCTGATTATGTTTTGATAAATCTAGTTGAAAATTTAATTAGTGGTTAATAAAAAGATCAATATATATATATATATATTATGCATGAGTCGTTCAATCGGCTTAGTGGATAACATGTAAAATAAATTGATACATGAAATCTCATTTGTTTTATATATTCCAAAACTCAATGTTATTCCGACAAATATTTAGAATTAACAAATATATATAATGGAAGTGGAATTTCTGATAAATTATTATTATTAATATTAAGAGGTAGTTTTATTCAAATGTACGAAAGATACACAAATCATTTTACTTTTACTTAAAAAATATTTAACATGATTACAAAAGAGTAATAAATAATGGTTGAACATGCCCCTTATTTCCACCTCACATTCTACCTTTGCCAATTTTTCATTTGCTGGTTCGTTTTCTGCCATATTTCTTCTTCACTAAACTATCTAGACCTTAATTGGAATTTGGACCAACCCCTCTTCTATTTATGCAAAATAAATTAACCTTACAACTTAGAGCAGAGAACTGTTGAAGGTTGGTCGATTATAATCTAATCTTTATATGTTATATACATATAGGTTTTTCATTTCTTGTTATATGGCGGGCGTAGGAGATTTATTCAGCTACTTCGGTAAGAGATACAATTTCTTACATTATTATATAAAGATTATCCTCTTTATATGTCTCATTATGTTTATATATTAACTAAATTCACAAATGGTTTTATTTGAATCAGGTTTTTTCTTCTCCGCACTTGTATATATAGCTCCAATGTAAGTAAATATACGTTCTCTATTAGTTTTCCCAATGTTAAATCAACACTTCCAGTTTTTTTCCTTTTCTTTTCCTTTTTCTTTGGACCCATTATTTTCTTTTACTTTTATTTTATTATCCCACGTTTACTTATCGTCTTACTCCTTATATCCCTCAAGTTTGAAATATTCAACAACCTCTTCAGTCCAAAGTTATAGAGTAATTCTCTTCAAACAAAATAAGTTTGTTTAAACTCTTTTTAAAAATTTATTATTTAAATTATACTTATAATTTGTTTTTGTAGGCCCACTTTATATAGGGTTTACCATTGTCGTACGTCTATAGAGAGGTGTTCTCCTATAGCGTACACATTGGCCCTATATTCTTCCTCATTATGGCTTTATTACGGATGCCTTGAGTCACTCAAGGCCGTAATAGCCATCAACGCGATGGGATGCGTCATAGAGTCGATTTATATGTCTTTGTACATATATCGTGCACCACACAATGCTCGGGTACGCAACAACAATATCCAATCTAAAGAAAAGATCATTGCTTTTTACTCTATTGTTTTATTAACTTCTAACAAAATATTCTACCTAGATTTTCGCTGTGAAGCTTCTAGGTGCCTTCATGGGCATTTCTATATGTTAGTGTTATATACTGAAAGCTTGGCTTTGCATGTTATTACACATTTACCCTTTATGAATGAGAATCATGTTAGATTAAACAAGTTCTACGTTCTGTTGTTTTGCACTTAGATAGGGTGGGTCGTCATCGGGCGAACCGAAGATCACTCTATCAGTCACTTGCGAACAAGAATAGTTGTTCACAACCTAGATGGACATGAACACCCCATCCGAACGGTTGTAGTGTCAACTGTACAGTTTGTCTTGACTGATTAGTTGCACTAGTACATTTATGTATTGAACAGGATCCCAGAGAGGAGAAGTTCATTTTATACTGATCGTCGTAAATGAACTAGGCCTCGGTTAATTACTGCGTTCTCTTAACCCGTAAGATATTAAACAGGCAGATATATATAATATATATTACTTTGATTCACATGGGTGAGGTTCAGTTCGCTGGATTAATATTCCTACTGTTTTGGGTAATATTATTATATATAGGATGTGCTGTTAGGATATTTACGGTCACCATGTGCGTTAGTTTGATGATGTCCCCGGAGTGAGTTCATGAAGGATTGTTATGCTAAACCCTGCAGGTGGATTAAATTCCGGCATAATAAGAATGTGATGAACGAGCGCTAGCTTCGGTGAAATAATAATAAATTAATTAATTCTTGATTGTCAGTAATCGAATTAATTAATGGACATTATATCTTAAACGTGGGGAGGTAAATCGAGTAATTATTATTGGAGTCTCAAATGTAATTTGGGCTAGGGAAAGGGAGTGCAATAATATAATGTTGGTGGCCCATTAATATTATTTAATTAATTAGAGGAGTGGGTTTGGCCCACAGTTAGTCTAATTAATTAAGGAGCCCTTTTCCTAATCTCCTTAGGGTCCCTACTGTAGCTCTATATATACATCATTAAGCTCATGAGAAGAGAATAGAAGTCTCATTCTCACGTGAAACCATCTCTCTCTCTAGATCTCATTCGAGCTTTATCTTCTTCTTGTTGCTCCACTGGTACAAGTTGAAGAAGGGTGTATTGAGTAATACAGTAGAAGATCTGTAGGTAAACCGAGACGAAATTGATTTTGACCTACAGAACTAACCGGAAGTCCGATTGAGACGTACAGTATACCCAGACGACCGTCTCGACGAGAGCTTTCCATCGCCGCCGACGTCGCCGGAATCCGACGCCGCACGCGCCCTCACGCGCCGCCGGAAGGTGTCTGGCAGCAAAATTTCGTTTTGATCTGTTTGCATCCGTTTGATCCAGTTTTGATCTGATCTTGTTCGTGCAACCCAAGACGCGTGTTGCGGTCAATCAATTGCGGTCAACCGTTCGTGGTCAACCAGATCTACATAAATTTTAAGCCGTAAGTTCTCTACGTCAAACCTTTAGATCCGCTGCGCATAGGTTTACGTTTGCTATTGAATTCGTGATTTGTACATAACGAGATCCTCACAGATCCCAACAAGTGGTATCAGAGCACTTGGTTAATTCGTTTTGTACAAAGTTCGAATTTTTACGGCTTTATTTGACAAGATGTGTTCAAACGCAGCCATATATTGGATTATATTTGCATAACTCGGTTTTGCAGGAAAATAGTTAATCCACTATTATGGCCGATTATGTGTTTGATGAATGTTGTTGAATGTGATGTATGGTTTTAAATTTGTTTTTAAAGCCTCGGGCATGTCGAGGAATTTATGGATGAATGTTTGTAATAATTATTCGCCCGGGGGTTGACCGGATAGATTTAATTATTTGTTTAGAAAACATGTACATCCATTCGTTGGATCTAGGATCGAATTATGTAATTTTGTAAATTATATTTTTCGTGTTGTGATCGTGTGTTGATAACCGGGAGATCACAAGAGATCAACGAGCCTCGAAGAATTAAAAAAAAAAAAAAAAAAATAAAAAAGGGAAACGGCGCGTTTTTCCGACCACTGGCGGCGGCGGCCGGCGGCCGGGCGGCAGTCGGCGGTTGGCTGCAGGAGGTGGAGAGGTTTTGCCTTCTTGTCCAAGCAGTACAAGATCAACCAGGATTCTACTGCTTAAAGGAGTTCCAGTTGAACAGGGAAAAGAACTGTCACAGTTTCCTTGTTTAAGGAGACTCAATATTTAATGGCCATAATAGTGGATTTATTTATTTATTTAATTAAATTTATTATGCCATTAAATTATTATTTATGCATGTTAATTAATTATGTTCTTGCATGGGATTAATTTAGTATTGCAAGATTAATTATGCATGTTAATTAATTATGTGATGCATAGGATTAATTTAGAATTGTGTCAATAAATTATGCATGTAATTAATTATGTTCTGGCATGGATTAATTTAGAATTGCATAAATTATTGAACATGTTAATTAATTATTGCATTGACATAGATTAATTTAGAATTGCATGAATTAATATGCATGTTAATTAATTATTGCATTAACATAGATTAATTTGGAATTGTATAAATAGTTAAAAATCCTCATTAAATTATACTAAGTTTGAGAAGGGATTTTAAATTAAAGTTAATTGTAAAATTCCTAAGGCCTCCATTTCTAATTTGTCGGTAAATCAATTAATTGCGGCAATGGGCTCCCCCACGGGTGACATTGCTAAAATTGGTTGTAGGAAATTACCAGGACAAATTTCTAAAATTAGACGGTTAGAGGGAATCTTAAGAGAACGCACGGGCCTCCCCACGGGGGACGTGTAATCAATTTTGACAACCTCAGAATCGAGAAATGGGATTCACTTAGAATGCGACTTATCTATAAACTCCCCACGGGGTCCCTGGATTTATTGCATGGCCAAATGGAGACCGACTATTAATTTCGTTAGTCATGAATGTGGTTTTGACTTATGGAAATTAATGGGCCCTTGAAAAGTCCTTCTCTTACAAAATGCGAGTTTGTAGGGCGACCCACGTAGCATACATTCTCACGAGGTGTAATAGATGTCGGTGAATTTAAGTTAATATTGTTTTGAGGATCTCAATATTGACAGTTAAATTCAAAAGTGTTTAATCTGTAAAATTTATTTGCATGATTCTCAGGATATTCATCATGTCGTTCAATCCGTTGTCTGTCATTCTAAAAGAAAATCAGCTTACTGGTCCTAATTACATTGATTGGAAGAGGAACTTAGACATAGTGTTGACTGCTGAGGGTTATAAGTTTGCTATCACTGATGCTTGCCCGGCGGTGCCGGCGGCTGATGCTCCTGAGCAGGAGAAAGAGGAGTATGCTCGGTGGAAGAAGGCTGATGAGATGGCGAAGTGTTACATTCTGGCTTCTATGTCGAATGTTCTTCAACATCAGCATCAGTCTAAGGACACTGCAGCAGATATACTTCTCAATCTCAGGGATCTGTTCGGACATCAGTCTAGGGCTGCTAGGCAAGAGGCTTTGAGTGCTCTGATGAGTACGCGCATGGCCGAGGGCACACCCGTAAGGGAGCACGCTCTCAGGGTTATGGCGCAGCTCAATGAGCTTGAGGTTATGGGAGGTTATATTGACGGGGAAACCCAGGTTGATATTATGCTCCAATCTCTGCCGAAGAGCTTTGATCAGTTCCGGTTGAACTACAACATGCACAAGATGCATATGGCTCTTCCAGAACTGCTTGCAGAGCTTCAGTCGGCGGAGGCCTTATTCACTCAAGCACCTCAGGTGCTAGTCGCCGAGCAGGCTGGACCTTCCAGGCCTCACAAGGGCAGGAAGAGAAAGAAGTCTGCAGGAAAGGCGAAGGCACAGGATGCTCCGGTTTACCCACGACCGACCCCTCAGGCTGTGGCAAAGAAACCGAAAGGAAGATGCCACAAGTGCAATAAGTCAGGACACTGGAAGGTCGATTGCCCTCTCCTCAAGAAAGGTAACTCTCTCGTTAATGTCGTAGAAACATGTTTAGCGGTTGTATCTACCAGAACCTGGTGTGTAGATACTGGAGCCACTGATCATGTCTGCAATTCTTTGCAGGGGTTCCAGGAAACCAAGCGACTTAGGGAGGGAGAGATCACCGTCTACATGGGCAATGCTACGAAAGTGGCGGCTGTTGCAGTGGGAGACGTTACTTTATCGTTCGATAGTAGTAGTTTGGTTTTGAGAAATTGCCTTTATGTTCCTAGTTTTAGAAAGAACCTTGTTTCAGTTTCTAAACTCGTTATGGATGGTTTTTCAGTTTCGTTTGATGACATGGTTATTATTCGTTTTGAAAATCGTTTCATATGTTGTGGTTCATTAGTTGGCAATTTATATGTTCTCAAACCGAACTCTCCCACAGTGCAACATAATGAATTGAATAATGTCATAACTACATCTAATAAGAGGAAGGAGTCTTCGCAGATGAATCAAGCATATCTGTGGCACCTTAGACTTGGACACATCAACCTTAGGAGGATTCAAAAGTTAGTGGCCAGTGGACATCTCGGTCCATTGGAAGAGCACTATCCAACTTGCGAATCATGCCTAGAAGGTAAGATGGCCAAGAGGCCGTTTACGGCAAAGGGGTATAGGAGCCAAGAAGTGCTAGGATTGATTCATTCTGATTTGTGTGGTCCTATGTCGATCCAGGCTAGAGGAGGTTTCGAGTACTATGTGTCTTTCATAGATGATTACTCGAGATTTGGGTACGTTTATCTGTTGCACCGCAAGTCCGAATGCTTTGAGAAATTCAAGGAGTATCGGGCAGTTGTGGAGAAGCTTCATGGTAAATGTATCAAGTCACTTCGTTCTGATCGAGGTGGCGAATACCTTTTTGGAGAGTTCAGGACATACTTATCGGAAGCTGGGATTGAATCCCAACTGACTGCACCCGGCACGCCCCAGCAGAATGGGGTTGCAGAGCGAAGAAATAGGACTCTTATGGAGATGGTTAGGTCTATGATGAGTTATTCGAGGTTACCAGATTCGTTCTGGGGTTTGGCATTGGAAACGGCATCGTATATTCTGAACATGGTTCCGTCGAAGTCAGTTGACACTACCCCTTATGAGATGTGGAAAGGGCGCAAGCCCAGTTTCTCACAGTTTCGAGTTTGGGGTAGTCCTGCACACGTGTTAGTGCAGGAACCTGGCAAGTTGGAGAAACGTTCGGAAGCACGAGTTTTCGTAGGCTATCCCAAGGGAACGAAAGGTGGATTATTTTATAGTCCCGAGGATCAGAAGGTGATCGTTTCGACGAACGCTAGATTCTTGGAAGAAGACTATATTATGAATCATAAGCCCGCGAGTAGACTAGTCTTAGAGGAGTTAAGGGGTGAAATCGATGGTTCCCCACCGAGTGCGCAAGTAGATACATCACATAATACTGCAACACGACACACTGAGAGTGTACCAGTGCAGACAGTGCCTCGTCGCAGTGGGAGGGTTTCTCATTTACCCGACCGATGGATAGGTCTTGGAGAGTCGTCAGACTCAGTTCCAGGAGGCCTAGAATCGGACCCAAGAACTTACGATGAGGCACTCCAAGATAAAGATGCAGATTCATGGAATGTTGCAATGAAAGCTGAAATGGGGTCAATGGACTCCAATCAGGTCTGGGATCTTGTAGAACTACCCGATGGGGTACGACCCATTGGATGTAAGTGGATCTATAAGAGAAAGAGAGGATTGGATGGGAAGGTGCAAACCTTTAAAGCTAGGCTTGTTGCGAAAGGTTATACCCAGATCGAGGGTATTGATTATGATGAGACCTTTTCGCCAGTAGCTATGCTTAAGTCCATTCGGATTCTCTTGGCTGTAGCCGCTCATATGGACTATGAGGTCTGGCAGATGGATGTCAAGACAGCTTTCCTTAATGGGAACCTGCAAGAAGACATCTATATGCAGCAACCAGAGGGATTCATTGCTGAAGGTCGTGAGCATCTAGTGTGTAAGCTTAATCGGTCTATTTATGGACTGAAGCAAGCTTCGAGATCTTGGAACATCCGTTTTGATGAGGTGATCCAGTCGTACGGGTTCACTCAATGTCCGGATGAGCATTGTGTTTACAAGAAAATCAGTGGGAGCGTGGTGGTGTTTCTTGTGCTTTACGTAGATGACATACTGCTTATTGGAAACAGTAAGAAGGAGTTATCAGACGTAAAGGTGTGGTTGTCTAAGCAGTTTGATATGAAGGACTTAGGTGAAGCAGGACACATTCTTGGTATTAGGCTCATTAGAGATCGTAAGAAGAGAATGTTGTGCTTATCCCAGTCTTCATACATAGATACTGTCTTGGCCAGATTTAGCATGCAGGATTCCAAGAAAGGTATGTTACCTTTTAGACATGGAATACCTTTATCTAAGGAGATGTCTCCTAAGACGTCTAAGGAGATAGAGGAGATGAAGACAGTTCCTTATGCTTCGGCAGTAGGAAGTCTCATGTATGCAATGCTATGCACAAGGCCGGATATTAGCTACGCCGTTGGCATGGTAGCTAGATATCAAAGTAATCCAGGACGGGAACATTGGTCTGCGGTGAAGCATATACTCAAGTACCTGAGAAGGACTAAGGAGTACATGTTAGTTTACCGTGCAGACAGCTTGTTACCTCTGGGTTACAGTGATTCTGATTTCCAGTCAGATAGGGATGAAAGTAAGTCAACCTCAGGTTATGTGTTTACCTTGGGAAGTGGAGCCATTTCATGGAGGAGTGCTAAGCAGAAATGCGTGGCAGACTCCACCATGGAAGCCGAGTACATAGCAGCCTCAGAGGCAGCGAAAGAGGCAGTTTGGCTCAGGAACTTCTTAGTGGACTTAGAGGTTATACCGAGTTTGCCACGTGGTATCACCGTGTACTGTGATAACAGTGGAGCAGTAGCGAACTCAAAAGAACCTCGAGCCCACAGGGCAAGCAAACACATAGAGCGCAAATACCATCTGATTCGGGATATCGTTGGTAGAGGAGACGTTGATGTTGCCAAGATTGCATCAGAGGATGCATGGCGATAGGATCGACATAGGTCTTTTAGAATAACGGATTGATAGGACTATACTGTAAAAGCGAAAGCTTTAAGTATAAGTGGGAGATTGTTAGTGTTATATACTGAAAGCTTGGCTTTGCATGTTATTACACATTTACCCTTTATGAATGAGAATCATGTTAGATTAAACAAGTTCTACGTTCTGTTGTTCTGCACTTAGATAGGGTGGGTCGTCATCGGGCGAACCGAAGATCACTCTGTCAGTCACTTGCGAACAAGAATAGTTGTTCACAACCTAGATGGACATGAACACCCCATCCGAACGGTTGTAGTGTCAACTGTACAGTTTGTCTTGACTGATTAGTTGCACTAGTACATTTATGTATTGAACAGGATCCCAGAGAGGAGAAGTTCATTTTATACTGATCGTCGTAAATGAACTAGGCCTCGGTTAATTACTGCGTTCTCTTAACCCGTAAGATATTAAACAGGCAGATATATATAATATATATTACTTTGATTCACATGGGTGAGGTTCAGTTCGCTGGATTAATATTCCTACTGTTTTGGGTAATATTATTATATATAGGATGTGCTGTTAGGATATTTACGGTCACCATGTGCGTTAGTTTGATGATGTCCCCGGAGTGAGTTCATGAAGGATTGTTATGCTAAACCCTGCAGGTGGATTAAATTCCGGCATAATAAGAATGTGATGAACGAGCGCTAGCTTCGGTGAAATAATAATAAATTAATTAATTCTTGATTGTCAGTAATCGAATTAATTAATGGACATTATATCTTAAACGTGGGGAGGTAAATCGAGTAATTATTATTGGAGTCTCAAATGTAATTTGGGCTAGGGAAAGGGAGTGCAATAATATAATGTTGGTGGCCCATTAATATTATTTAATTAATTAGAGGAGTGGGTTTGGCCCACAGTTAGTCTAATTAATTAAGGAGCCCTTTTCCTAATCTCCTTAGGGTCCCTACTGTAGCTCTATATATACATCATTAAGCTCATGAGAAGAGAATAGAAGTCTCATTCTCACGTGAAACCATCTCTCTCTCTAGATCTCATTCGAGCTTTATCTTCTTCTTGTTGCTCCACTGGTACAAGTTGAAGAAGGGTGTATTGAGTAATACAGTAGAAGATCTGTAGGTAAACCGAGACGAAATTGATTTTGACCTACAGAACTAACCGGAAGTCCGATTGAGACGTACAGTATACCCAGACGACCGTCTCGACGAGAGCTTTCCATCGCCGCCGACGTCGCCGGAATCCGACGCCGCACGCGCCCTCACGCGCCGCCGGAAGGTGTCTGGCAGCAAAATTTCGTTTTGATCTGTTTGCATCCGTTTGATCCAGTTTTGATCTGATCTTGTTCGTGCAACCCAAGACGCGTGTTGCGGTCAATCAATTGCGGTCAACCGTTCGTGGTCAACCAGATCTACATAAATTTTAAGCCGTAAGTTCTCTACGTCAAACCTTTAGATCCGCTGCGCATAGGTTTACGTTTGCTATTGAATTCGTGATTTGTACATAACGAGATCCTCACAGATCCCAACACTATAGTGGTTTGTGTTGTTACATACACCACTATAGTTAGCCAACTGCTGGTTCTCATTGTTGAGTGGATATGCCTCATATCCACAGTTTTGGCCTTTGCCGCGCCGCTGACTAGCCTTGTGAGTATAACTAATATGAAAAGACTTAAATTAAAGATTATATTTCAATACTCAATTATTTGTTTATTTGTTTATTTTTGTGTAGCGTCGAGTCTTTCAGGAGCGTGACGTTGGGGACTTGTCTTTTGCGTTGGCATTGTCCTTAACAATGAGCGGCATATGTTGGTTCGTATATGGATTGCTAGAGAATGACTTTCTGATAGCGGTAAGTTAAAAAATTAGCTTGATTCAAATATCTAAATATTAGTATAATTATATTAAAATTTCTTTATGTAATATCTTTATTTTTTTTCCTTAATAGATTCCTAACTGTGTCGGAGCTGTCCTCGGAGTAGCCCAGATGACAATTTATCTATACTTATGTAGACCTGATGATATTTTCATGACGAGCGTCATGAATCTTATCAAACGGAATGGACCGATAATGATGTGATATGATCTTTATCGAATTAGTACTTAATGTGTTTGTAATTAATTTTGTGGACCGATAAATGTCTATTCGAAATTTTGCTTAAACAATGTCAAATAAATAAAAATGTTCCGAACTATAGATTGATAGTTTAAACGCCAGATATCCAGTGTAATTTATTCAACTACAATACTTGAAATATGTAACTGCGGAAACCAACTTCAAGAGTTATCACTTGCAGTAAGATTACAAAGTCGATGAATTACAAAAATTTATTTATTTCTTTCTGCCTTAGAAGTCTTAATTAATAATTAGGGGAATATGCCTTCATCACATAAGACAGAAAAGATCTCATCTTTATCATAATATATGCTATAGGAATGAAGTATTAGAAGCTAGAATGTCAATATATAAATTCCGAGAAAAAATGGTTTGCCAAAATATGTCCGATGGTGACCGATCGAGCAGCAAAAGTTACATGTATTAACAAGTACATACTGATAATTTACAAACAAAATTAGTGTCAGATCGAATACCGACCGAAACACTATAGAGAGGTTATTATTATTATTATTATTATTATTATTATTATTATTATTATTATTATTATTATTATTGGGATTCCGAAATATAAAAGTTTCGAACAACAAAATTAGTTTGACCACTTTCATTTGATGTTGTGCAATTTGATTGTCAATATTGTTCAATTCGTATAATCTTAATTTACACTCATAATGTATAAAAAACATATAAACAACCGTCATATCTTTTAAAACCCAAAAGCGAGCGTCCAAAAAAGAATTATAAATGGAAACAGAAAACGTCATTTTGTCTAAATAATAAGGTAAAATAATTATTTAAACTATCTAAACAAATAGAAAGGGCGTGTCATTTATTCCTTCATTAGTGAGCCTTCTCCTCCTGGACCATTTCTCTGAGATAATGACGCATAATTTTCCCCCATTTCTCTTTAATTCTCGTGGCCCATTTTGTTCCAATTTTGGCCCAAGAGATCATTTGTAATTCTCTTAAAATTTGTAATTCTGGAAATCAATTTCGTTTCTTCCTCACACGCCCAATTCTCTAAAATCCGGCCGGTGATCGAGCGGTGCGGTGTCTGGACATCGGAATCTGGCAGAGCTCGGCGGTTCGATCCCAAGATGGCGGCGACTCGAGGCATCAGCGGCTGACGGGCGGCGGAGTTTCGCTGGAGGGCGGCCGGAGTGCTGCTCTCGAAGGTGGCTGGCCGGAATGTGTGCGGGTGTGGAAACCGGAGGCAAGCAGACATCAACGATATCTCGGTTCGAGCCAACGGCGGCTGACGGGGTCCGTAGGCTCTGACAGTGGAGGTTTGAGAGCCGTCGGCTCCGAGGGGAGCGACTCGAGGTATCGGCAATTGGTGTACTCGATCTGAAGTTGGAGCGGCATCTAAGATCTCGGGCGTATGGCGGGCTGCACCTCCGAACAATTGCCCGAGATCGAGCGAGGGTCGGTGCTTGCGCGATCAAACCGGGTGGCTGTGTCTCCGGTGATGGCAGCGGTGGCGGGCTGCTACTGGACGCGTGGAGAGAACGCTGGCGAAGGCGGTGCACGGCGGCGGCGATGGGCGTGTTGGCGGACGGTTTCTTGGACGCCGGTCACTTATGCTAGCGGAGGATGAAGGCTGAGAAGCAGAGAGAACNNATTTTGCTTGAGAGAATAACTGGTGAGATGGCTATCACTCGGTTTTCTATTAAATGGGAGTTACCAAGATTTGTAAGAAATCAATAGCAATCGCAATTGATTTGGCCGAGGGTTGGGGTTTACACCAACTGATTGATCTGATTTATAACCTACGATACTTGGTGTAAATTTTGAAATTTTAAAAACAAATAGTTGGTGTCCAAGGCATAGGCAGGGCCGAGATTCTCACAACACAAGGGCCGGATTTTGAAAAATTTTTAGGCCGAAAGAGATGAGTAAATTGGGCCGAAAATTATCATATAAAAGGCCGAACACACTTTGCTAAAATGGTCGTGAAAAGGTCTTAATTGGAAAAAGGCCCGAAAGATAATACGCGATTTCATCAAAAGAATTTCGAACAATTTTCGATTAACAAAAATAAAATTGGACATAATTCAAGTAGGCGAGGACATCTACAAAATTATTCGACTTATTAGATTAAATAGACGAGGAATCTACAAAATTATTCGACTTATTAGATTAAATAGATGAGGACATTCAATTAATAATAAAAAGCTTAATCGATATATTAGTCGAGCAATTAATGGAAAATAAAAAAAATGCAAGACTATGCAAATAATAAAATAAAATAATGTAACTCATGTAATTTAATCTATTAATATATAAAGAGGGAATGATAGTTGTTTGAAAAAATCAACTAAAAAATCACCAAAAAAAGATTTCATTTCCCGCCTAAATAAAGAGCAGAATTTTTGGCCAAAAAAATTAATCTGGGCGCCTTCAACCAATTCAAACGTTTTTGATATTTTAGTAATTGATTTCAAGCCTTATCTATTTACACAATCCGATTTTTACAAGATTTGGTTAAATTTTTTTGTCAAGTATTTGTATATATGTTAATTAAATCATTCCAAAATCATTCATAACTAAAATCACGTGGGTTATATAATCCTATCTATATAAATACATTAGTTTATCATCTACTCCAAAGGTTCACGATAAAAATTCATACACGATATATCGACGGAGGCAGGGAAAGGCTCGCCCCACGGCCGCCATGAACGGTCCTGGAAGAATAAATTCCGATTGCAAACCGAGACGAATCTGTCTCAAGCGACCGGACGCAAATAACGCTGTAACGAGAACCGGGCGGATCAAAAGCCAAGCTCATCCCACGTATTTCACCCAAAGCCCGTCCCTTTTCGCCCGGTTTGAGAATATCGGAGCAGGAATTAATCGTTGGATTGTAGATGCGGTGCCCATGTTTGGACCGGAGCAAGAGCAGGCCGCAAGTGCAGTCGACTGAACACATCAAACACAGGGAGCGCAAGTGACGAGAGTGGCTTTCACGCGCCCTCCTCCACGTTGTGCTCGAATTAGCCAGTGTAGCCTTCTGTCAGTGATCGGCCTACTATAATATTTGGTGCTGATCTCACACATCCTCATCCTGGAGAGGATTCTAGCCCATCGATTGCTGCTGTAAGTCTCGACTGATCAAATTTCAGATGCATGGATTCTTTTTTTTTTTTTTTTTTTTTTTTTTTGGTTAAATATGAAGGGGGTACATCATTTATATATTTGAGGTTGGATTTTTCTTATAGGTTTTGTAAATTAGATACATATTCAGGTTTATCACGGTCAATCTGTCAATATAGTAATTGTATGGATCATGCTAGAAAAGATTATAGGACATTCTCTGTGATTGTTATTAGCTGAATGGTTGAAGCCTATTTTAAGATACAAAGTGTGCCATTTGCTTTGTATATATGAGCTCTACTATCCTATTCCCTCTGACCTGCTACATTATTCTTCTGCCATGATAACTGAATATTGTTATTCATTTATGTCTTTTCCTTTTCGTATTGAAACAAAAATTGTATAGAGTTTCAAAATGCTGCACTTTGTAAGAAAAAGAACAATCATCAGTAAGCATTAGCTATATCATTATTTACGCTGCACAAATTTATAAAACTATTTCTATTGGATGGATAAATTAATTAATAGTTGTTAGTCATGTACACCTATGCTTGGATTATGCCCTGTTTCACAAGCTTTGAATTTCAAACTGTTCAGATTTAGTTTACTTTTATAAAATAAATCAATAGGAAAATAGCCTCAGCCAAAAGAGAGGTTGAGGATGCTTGGATACAAATCAATTATATGATTGAGTGGGTTTATTGTGAATTTGCTCTTGTGGTCTTTTGCTTGGCTGTTTAGCATTATGGCTGATTTAAGTTTGCTTGATTTGAGAGATTCATTTTTGTGTTATAATGATTGGGTTAGGATTATAAGGAAGCCGCTCGATTGCGTGATTCATTGAACTTTAATGAAATCGTGATAGATAGTCAAAAACAAAACTTAGTTTTGTTAACAAAATTATCAAAAAGCGTGAGTACTACACCCAACTTTAAATTCTGACTAAAAGAAGCATAAGCTGAAGCACACATTCACAAACACTGAATAGCAATTTTCTGAAAGCTAGAAAAGTGATAGATAGTAAAAAACAAAACGTAGTTTTGTTAACAAAATTATCAAAAAGCGTGAGTACTACACCCCAACTTTAAATTCTGACTAAAAGAAGCATAAGCTGAAGCACACATTCACAAACACTGAATAGCGATTTTCTGAAAGCTAGAAAAGTGATAGATAGTAAAAAACAAAACGTAGTTTTGTTAACAAAATTATCAAAAAGCGTGAGTACTACACCCCAACTTTAAATTCTGACTAAAAGAAGCATAAGCTGAAGCACACATTCACAAACACTGAATAGCGATTTTCTGAAAGCTAGAAAAGTGGGCAATCAATCAAACATTTTCCCAGCATGAAATAGGCGACGAATTCAACGGTTACGGCGACAACTTGATGGCCGGAGCTGCTCAAAAGGTGGCGGCATCTCGCCCCGTACCTTGTGATTTTCTCTGGTTTTCTAACTTGATTTTTCCTCTATTTTTCTGCATTTTTTTTTTCAATTTTCATTTGGTTTTTTGATGTTGCTAAGGTGATATTGGGAGCTTTCCTATATTGCGTTTCATGGGAATCCTCGCCTTTTGAAGTAATGTTTGTCTTCTACCTTGAAATTTAGTGGAAATTACATTGGGAGAGGAAGATATATTTTTTGAGCTTCACAAGACGAACCGAACGGAGAAGGTTCTTGCCGGTTTTCATGGTTGTTGGATGTGTGGGATCCAAGCGTTACTTTGCTTGGGCCGGGCTGGTGGTCTAGAGGGCCTGACAAGAATTTTGGTACAAGCTGCTGAAGGCGAATGGACTCGACAGCATCGTTCTGGACGTTTCATATCGAAGGTCGCCTGAACGGACATATCCTGGCCAAAGAAGGTGTTGCGCGGGGTCGGTTGGTTGGGATGAGAGTAGGGCTGGGGCTGCGAGCGGGTGCCGTCGACAACAAGAGCAGCTGGTCGGAGGAGCAACTGCGTTTTCTGGTATTTTTCGGCTGAATGGATAAAAAGACAGAGCTTTTCAGACACCGGCGGGAGGACTGAAGCGTGGTCTGCCATGGTGCTTCACAGGAAAATCATGTTGCCGTTATTTTCTGGAATTTTTTTTGGCAAGCATAACGCGTGAAAAAGATGGTCACAAATTTTTCGGCGAGAGAAGCAATTGCAGTTCCGTGCCAAATTTTTCGGCCGTTCAAGTTGAAGAGAGAGAGTGTTGGTTTGACGATGTGTGAAAATGATTAATCTGATTAAAAGACACTTGACGTTGGATTGTAATTTAGTGTCTTATTAGTTAGAATTATTTTTTTTTTTTCATATTATTGTCATTATCTATAGTTCAAGATTTTTAATTATTTAATTTTGCTTAATTTTTTTTGGAAAATTCACGATGAAATTTTTTAAAAAATTTCCTAAAACCATACAATTGAGTAACTAAATACAATTTTCTAACTACTTAACTAAAAATATGATAAAACGAAATCAATCATCTTTTTTATTTGAAAGATATACGGTAAAGTATGATCTAATCTTTTCGCATTAGACTCTAATATATAAAAGTGGATATAGCAGACATGTTTTTATAGAAAAAAAATTTAGCTACTTTCACATTTTTCAAAAATAATATATAGTATTTTAGATCCTTTTACATTTAATATATAAAGAGGCTACCTAAATAATATGATAATAGTAACTAAAAATTATCTAAAATCCCAAAATTTCGTTTGAAAAATAAATCAACTTTCTTAGTTTCACCAACATTTTTTTATCTACTATATACATAAAATAAAAATAGCGTATGGTCTAATTAATGTTCTTTTATGTTGGAATTGTTTACGGTCTAATTAATATTTTTTTACGTTGTAATACATATTATTCACGCATATAATTACTAATGTTTTTGCCTTAGGCTCTAATATATAAAAGTGGATATAACTTTAAACATGTTTTTATAGCAAAAAAAAAATTAATTTCACATTTTAAAAAAATAATATTTTAGACACTTTTACTTACGTTATATAATAGTCTAGGTATTCTTAATGTTTGTTGGGTTGCAATATTTTAGATATTTTTAAATATATCTTGATAATTGTTTTTACCCATTCTCTATATTAAGGAGGTGTATCTATACATAAATAGGTTAATTTTTTTAGGTGACTTCACACATATTTTTAGAATAATATATAATATATTAAATATTTTTTACATATGTACGATTCTAGACATTTTTTAATATCTATATCTATACATATAAAAAGAGAATAAGATTTAAAAAAACATTAGTTACATACTAAATTTTAGATAGAAAATCACATTTTATTTGTTATATAATTTTTTCGATTGTCATTAATCTTGATTTGTAATTGTAAAATAGATAAATTAACCATATGATAAAAAGCATACCAAATTCTTTTTACGATAAAGACTTCAAAAATTAATTTTTGAAATCTTTTATACTCAACTACGCAAAAGTTACGGAAGTTAGGTGGCAGCGCATCCCACATCGGGTTTGAAGGGAAACGAAGCAGGCCTTATATGAGGGTGTGGATACCTTCACTAGTAAGACGCGTTTTGGTGGGTGTGTATTGAAGCCCAGCCAAGAACAAAGCCGTGCGGGTGGCGGAAGTAGCCCAAAGCGGACAATATCTTACTAGGGTCTGCGCCAGTTGGTATCAGAGCCAACCTATGTGCCAGCGGTGACCGCTGGGCCCACAGGGGGGGTGGATGATGCAGCGCATCCCACATCGGGTTTGAAGGGAAACGAAGCAGGCCTTATATGAGGGTGTGGATACCTTTACTAGTAAGACGCGTTTTGGTGGGTGTGTATTGAAGCCCAGCCAAGAACAAAGCCGTGCGGGTGGCGGAAGTAGCCCAAAGCGGACAATATCTTACTAGGGTCTCCGCCAGGTCATAATTCATCCTAACGGTCAATATCATATTAATATTTATTTTAGATATACTATGTAATTCATAATTGCAATATTTATGTTATATATTCTAAGTAAATTTTCTCATCTACTCCCAACAAATATGTTACCTCATAATATTTTATATAGTTTTAAACAGGCAATTTTTACCCGTTCTATCTATATATACATTTACATATACACATATACATATACATATGTTAAATTTAAATATTTTTAGACATGTTTTCTTTAAAAAATAATTTAAAAAATTTTAGGTGACTTCACATATTTTTAGATAGTTTTAGACATGTTTTCTTTACGAAGTAGTTTAGAAAAATTTAGTTGATTTCACATCTTTCCATAATGATATAGAAAATTTTAGATACTTTTAAATACGATTATATAATATTTTAGCGTTTTTAATATTTTAAACATACATTTTCTTACTTTATTCTATACAAGATAATTTTATATTGCTTACAACTGATATACGATAAATTATACCACATATTCAAGAATGCAACAAATGATCCAAGTTACTTGAAAGATAGCGCTATACTCGCGCCAACACTTGAGATCGTAGAATCTATAAATGCATACATGTCGTCGTTGAATTCGACTGAAGGACGCACATATTTAAGCTCAGCACGTGTAAATCTGACTCCAATACCGACTTTTCGGTACAACTCCATACTCCAGAGTTCTTGAATACTATCAAGTGTTCTGGAACACCGAATCATGAGTTGAATTTAAAGGTTGGAACTCCAGTTATGTTGTTGCGGAACATGGATCACTCAATGTGACTCTGCAATGGTACACGATTGGTTGTGACCAAACACTCCAATCATGTTTTCGAGTGTAAAATTCTTACTGGCGATCATGCAGGGAATAAAGTTTTGATACCTCGAATGACCATAACTCCTTCGGATGTTAGAGTACCATTCAAATTCCAAAGAAGACAGTTTCCCATTATAGTTTCGTATACAATGACTATAAACAAGAGTCAAGGTCAATCCTTATCTCATGTTGGCTTATTCTTGAAGAAACCAGTTTTTAGTCATGGTCAATTATATGTCGCTGTCTCCCGTGTTGCTAATAGAAAGGGTCTGAAAATTTT